TCGAACCCGTGGGCTCAGGCAATCCACTCACCTCAGCCTCCCAAAGGCGCGGGATTACAGACAGCCTCCGAGCCTGGCTCAATTTTTAAATTTAAAAAAGAAAATACATACACCCTTAGGCTCAGCAGTTCTGTGTTCTTGGCTTTCTTGGCCTGGGGGATGCCCGTCCTTGTGGACCATCCTCACGTGGCCCACTTGAACTTGCACAGAGCCTTCCTCAGGCTGGCCTGCTCTCCAGAGGGCCTTGGTGGGAAAGCAGGGGCGGTTGTTTAAAGTGGGGCCCCTGTATGTTTTATTGATTCATCTGTTGATTCCACAAACCAAATGCCGCTGTCTGGACGACCTCACATCCCGCCGACAAGGCCTGGGCAGTTAATTGGTCCATGACTTTGGAAGGGAGGGGAGAAGTAGGAGCCACCACAGGGCCTGACAGGTGAAGGCCCGGTGGGCTCCCGAGGGAAGAAGCAGGGGTCATTGAGCAGGAAACTGGAGCCTACTGCCTGGTTTGAGCCCCAGCTTTGCCACTGAGGGGTGTGTGACAAGTGACCAACGTTTTACTGCCTCAGTTGCTCCTCTGTGAAATTGGGTACTGTTCCTGCCCTACAGGGTTGTGTGAGCATTAATGAGTTTATGTAGATTTACTGCAATTAAGGACCAGAGTCACTAGCAGTATCTGTCCCTGGGGTCATTTGGGTTTTCAGCCCCAGATCTGAGAGCCAGGAAGAGGGTACAAGGGTCTTCAGTGACAGCCGTCTCCAAATGCCTTAGCATCCTGCCAACACCATGGGCCCCAGGAAGTCTCACAGCAGGCCTGAGGGGTTCTCACTCCCTGGGCTCCCAGGAGACCCAGCTGCCGGATACCAATCCCCAGCCATGGGTCCCCTGCGTGGGAAGGCCAGGTAGCCTGATTGATGGCACAGACTCCCCACCAGGCGGTGCGTCAGAGCACCTAGGGAGCTTTTCCTTCTTTGTAAAATTAATAGACAAGCCACAGAAGGTTGTGGGGGAGGGGTGAGCCTGAGCAGAAAGGGCTAGAAGGAAGCGCACCAACACCCCTGGTGGTTACCTCCCTGGGAGAGCTG